TACCACCATCAACCCACCACCACCACCACCACCACCACAAACCCCCATCAACCCACCACCACTACCACCATCAACCCACCACCACCCACTACGACCATCAACCCACCACCACCACCATCAACCCACCACCACCACTACCACCATCAACTCACCACCACCACCATCAACCCACCACCACCACTACCACCATCAACCCACCACCACCACTACCACCATCAACCCACCACCACTACCACCATCAACCCACCACCACCACTACCACCATCAACCCACCACCACCACTACCACCATCAACCCACCACCACCACTACCACCATCAACCCACCCCACCACTACCACCATCAACCCACCACAACCACTACCACCATCACCCAATACCACCACCACTACCACCATCAACCCACCACCACCACTACGACCATCAACCCACCACCACCACCATCAACCCACCACCACCACTAACCACCATCAACTCACCACCACCACCATCACCCACCAAACCACCACTAACCACCATCAACCCACCACCACCCTACCACCATCAACCCACCACCACCACTACCACCATCAACCACCACCACCACTACCACCATCAACCCACCACCACCACTAACCACCATCAACCCACCACCACCACTACCACCATCAACCCACCACCACCACTACCACCATCAACCCACCACAACCACTACCACCATCAACCCAATACCACCACCACTACCACCATCAACCCACCACCACCACTACCACCATCAACCCTCCACCACCACTACACCATCAACCCACCACCACCACTACCACCATCAACCCACCACCACCATCAACCACACCACTACCACCATCAACCCACCACCACCACCACTAACCACCATCAACCCACCACCACCACCACCATCAACCCACCACCACCACTACCACCATCAACCCACCACCACTACCACCATCAACCACCACCACTACCACCATCAACCCACCGCCACCACCACCATCAACCACCACCACCACCACTACCCCATCATCCCACCACCACTACCACCATCAACCACCACCACCACCACCACTACCACCATCAACCCACCACCACCACCACCATCAACCCACCACCACCACCACAACCACCATCTAACACCACCACCACTACCACCATCAACCCACCACCACCACACTACCACCATCAACCCACCACCACCACCAACTACCATCATCAACCCACCACCATCACTACCACCATCAACCCACCACCACCATCAACCCACCACCACCACTACCACCATCAACCCACCACCACTACCACCATCAACCCACCACCACCACTACCACCATCAACCCACCACCACCATAAACCCACCACCACCACCACTACCACTATCAATCCACACCATCACTACCACCATCAACCACCACCACCATCCAACACACACCACCACCATCAACCCACCACCACCACCACTACCACCATCATACCCACCACCACTACCACCATCATCCCCCCACCACTACCACCATCAACCACCACCACCACCACTAACCACCATCAACCCACCACCACCACCACCACCATCATCAACCCACCACCACCACCACTACCACCATCAACCCACCACCACCATCAACCCACCACCACCACCACCACTACCACTATCAACACACCACCATCACTACCACCATCAACCCACCACCACCATCAACCCACCACCACCACTACCACCATCAACCCACCACCACCACTACCACCATCAACCCACCACCACCACTACCACCATCAACCACCACCACCACTACCACAATCATACCCACCACCACCACTACCACCATCAACCCACCACCACCACCATCAACCCACACCACAACTACCACCATCAACCCACCACCACCACTACCACCATCAACCCACCACCACCACTACCACCATCAACCCACCACCACCACTACCACCATCAACCCACCACCACCACTACCACCATCAACCCACCACCACCACCATCAACCCACCACCACCACCATCAACCCACCACCACCACTACACCATCAACCCACCACCACCACCATCAACCCACCACCATCAACTCACCACCATCAACCCACCACCCATTACCACCATCAACCCACCCTTACCACCATCAACCCACCACCACCACCATCAACCCACCACCACTACCACTATCAACTCACCATCACCACCATCAACCCAACACCACCACCACCATCAACCCACCACCACCAACATCAACCCACCACCACCACTACCACCATCAACCCACCACCACCACTACCACATCAACCCACCACAACCACTACACCATCAACCCACCATCAAACCCCTACCATCAACCCACCACCACCACCACCATCAACCCACCACCACCACTACCACCATCAACCCACCACACCACTACCATCAACCCACCACCACTACCAGAATCAATCCACCACCACCACTACCACCATCAACCCACCACCACCAACTACCACCATCAACCCACCACCACCAATACCACCATAACCCAGCACCACCACCATCAACCCACACCACCACCATCAACCCACCACCACCACTACCACCATCACCCACCACCACCACTACCACCATCGAACCCACCACCACCACACTACCACCATCAACCCACCACTACCACCACCAACCCACCACCACCACCATCAACCCACCACCACCACCATCAACCCACCTCCAACACTACCACCATCAACCCACCACCACAACCATCAAACCCACCACCACCATACCACCATCAACCCACCACCTTTAACCCACCACCACCACTACCACCATCAACCCACCACCACCACCCTACCACCAATCAACCCACCAACCACTACCACCAACAACCCACCACCACCACTACGATCCCACACCCACCACCACCACCATCAACCCACCACCACCACTACCACCATCAACTCACCACCCCACCATCAACCCACCACCACCACTACCACCATCAACCCACACCACCACTACCACCATCAACCCACCACCACTAACCACCATCAACCCACCACCACCATACCACCATCAACCCACCAAACCCCCACTACCACCTTTAAACCCACCACCACCACTACCACCATCAACCCACCACCACCACTACCACCATCAACCCACCACTACCACTACCACCAATCAACCCAATACCACCACCACTACCACCATCAACCCACCACCACCACTACCACCATCAACCCTCCACCACCACTACCACCATCAACCCACCACCACCACTACCACCATCAACCCACCACCACCATCAACCCACCACCACTACCACCATCATCCCACCACCACCACCACTAGCACCATCAACCCACCACCACCACCACTACCACCATCACCCACCACCACACCGATCTAACCCACCACCACCACTACCACCATCAACCCACCACCCACTACCACCATCAACCCACCACCACCACCACTACCACCATCAACCCACCACCACCACCACCATCAACCCACCACCACCAAACCACCACTACCACCATCATCCCACCACCACTACACCACCATCAACCCACCACCACCACCACACACTACCACCATCACCCACCACAACCACCACCATCAACCCTCCACCACCACCACTACCACCATCAACCCACCACCACTACCACCATCAACCCTACAACCACCCTACCACCATCAACCCACCACCACCACCACTACCATCATCAACCACCACCATCACTACCACCATCAACCCACCACCACCATCAACCCACCACCACCACTACCACCATCAACCCACCACCACTTACCACCATCAACCCACCACCACCACTACCACCATCACCCACCACCACCATAAACCCACCACCACCACCACTACCACTATCAACCACCCCATCACTACCACCATCAACCCACCACCACCATCAACACACCACCACCATCAACCCACCACCACCACCACTACCACCATCATCCCACCACCACTACCACCATCATCCCACCACCACTACCACCATCAACCCACCACCACCCCACTACCACCATCACAACCCACCACCACCACCACCACCATCATCAACCCCCACCACCCACCACTACCACCATCAACCCACCACCACCATCAACCCACCACCACCCACCACCACTACCACTATCAACACACCACCATCACTACCACCATCCAACCCACCACCACCATCAACCCACCACCACCACTACCACCATCAACCCACCACCACCACTACCACCATCAACCCACCACCCACCACTACCAACATCAACCCACCACCACCACTACCACAATCAACCCACCACAACCACTACCACCATCAACCCACCACCACCACTACCACAATCAACCCACCACCACCACTACCACAATCAACCACCACCACCACTACCACCATCAACCCACCACCACCACTACCACAATCAACCCACCACCACCACTACCACCATCAACCCACCACCACCATCAACCCACCACCACCACCACCACCCATCAACCCACCAACCACCACTACCACCATCAACCCACCACCACCATCAACCCACCACCAAACCCCTACCACCATCAACCCACCACCACCATCAACCCACCACCACCACTACCACCATCAACCCAACACCACCACCACCACCATCAACCCACCACCACCACCACCATCAACCCACCACCACCACCATACCACCATCAACCCACCACCACTACCACCATCAACCCACCACCACCATCAAACCCCCCACCACCACCATCAACCCACCACCACCACCACTACCACCATCAACCCACCACCACCACCACCATCAACCCACCACCACCACTACCACCATCAACCCTCCACCACCACTACCACCATCAACCCACCACCACTACCACCATCAACCCACCACCACCACCATCAACCCACCACCACCACCACCACCATCAACCCACCCACCACCACCACCATCAACCCACCACCACCATCAACCCACCACCACCATCAACCCACCACCACCATCAACCCACCACTAACACTCTACTTACCTTCAATATTCCACCACTAGTCATCATTCAACGTACTCATCAATGCTTCATATTTCGCATCACTAAACCAACCTCACATACATCCATTTACATTATCATTGTTTCTCTCAATGTATTTACAAATCGTATTTTCACATCGTAATTTGTTTATCATGATTTATTTCGTTATCATTTTGATGTGATGATTGAAACACTAGTGAGAAGCTCAGGAGACGAGAGATAAACAGTGTGGGGGAGGATGCTGCATCTCGGCTGCTGTGTTAGGATGCTCTCCCCTCGCACGCTCTGTGATAACTGCAGCTTTTCTCTCTCTCTTTCTCTCTCCCTCCCTCTTCCCGCCCTCCCTCTTCCCTCCATCCCACTTACCTCCCTCCCTCCCTCAGCCTCCGCCCGTCTCTGGTAACTTGGCAACCCTCGTGCAGGTCCTGCGCCATCAGTGTTATCACCTACCACCACCAACTTTATACTCGCCCCTCAAAGTACTTACACTACTACACCTGTATTTACTTTCTCAGATGTGCACACTGTATGTTGTACACTGTATGTTGCACACCGTATGTTGCACACTGTGTGCTGCACACTGTATGTTGCACACTGTATGTTGCACACTGTGTTGCACACCGTATGTTGCACACTGTGTGCTGCACACTGTATGTTGCACACTGTATGTTGCACACTGTGTTGCACACTGTATGTTGCACACTGTGTGCTGCACACTGTATGTTGCACACTGTATGTTGCACACTGTATGTTGCACACTGTGTGCTGCACACTGTATGTTGCACACTGTATGTTGCACACTGTATGTTGCACACTGTATGTTGCACACTGTATGTTGCACACTGTGTGTTGCACACTGTATGTTGCACACTGCGTGTTGCACACTGTATGTTGCACACTGTATGTTGCACACTGTGTGTTGCACAGTGTGCTGCACACTGTATGTTGCACACTGTATGTTGCACACTGTATGTTGCACGCTGTATGTTGCACACTGTATGTTGCACACTGTATGTTGCACACTGTGTGTTGCACACTGTATGTTGCACACTGTATGTTGCACACTGTGTGCTGCACACTATGTTGCACACTGTATGTTGCACACTGTGTTGCACACTGTATGTTGCACACTGTGTGCTGCACACTGTATGTTGCACACTGTATGTTGCACACTGTATGTTGCACACTGTATGTTGCACACTGTATGTTGCACAGTGTATGTTGCACACTGTATGTTGCACAATGTATGTTGCACACTGTATGTTGCACACTGTATGTTGCACACTGTATGTTGCACACTGTATGTTGCACACTGTGTGTTGCACACTGTGTGTTGCACACTGTGTGTTGCACACTGTATGTTGCACACTGTATGTTGCACACTGTATGTTGCACACTGTATGTTGCACACTGTGTGCTGCACACTGTGTGCTGCACATTGTATGCTGCACACTGTATGTTGCACACTGTATGTTGCACACTGTATGTTACACACTGTATGTTGCACACGGTATGTTGCACACTGTGTGCTGCACACTGTATGTTGCACACTGTGTGCTGCACATTGTATGCTGCACACTGTATGTTGCACACGGTATGTTGCACACTGTGTGCTGCACACTGTATGTTGCACGCTGTGTGCTGCACACTGTGTGTTGCACACTGTATGTTGCACACTGTATGTTGCACACTGTATGTTGCACACTGTGTGCTGCACACTGTGTGTTGCACACTGTATGTTGCACACTGTATGTTGCACACTGTATGTTGCACACTGTGTGCTGCACACTGTGTTGCACACTGTATGTTGCACACTGTATGTTGCACACTGTATGTTGTACACTGTGTGTTGCACACTGTGTACTGCACACTGTATGTTGCACACTGTATGTTGCACACTGTATGTTGCACACTGTGTGTTGCACACTGTATGTTGCACACTGTATGTTGCACACTGTATGTTGTACACTGTGTGTTGCACACTGTGTGCTGCACACTGTATGTTGCACACTGTATGTTGCACACTGTATGTTGCACACTGTGTGCTGCACATTGTATGTTGCACGTTGTGTGTTGCACACTGTATGTTGCACACTGTATGTTGCACACTGTGTGCTGCACACTGTATGTTACACACTGTGTGCTGCACACTGTTGCACACTGTATGTTGGACACTATGTTGCACACTGTGTGCTGCACACTGTGTGTTGCACACTGCATGTTGCACACTGTATGTTGCACACTGTGTGCTGCACACTGTGTGTTGCACACTGTATGTTGCACACTGTATGTTGTACACTGTATGTTGCACACTGTGTGTTGCACACTGTGTGCTGCACAGTGTATGTTGCACACTGTGTGTTGCACACTGTGTGCTGCACACTGTATGTTGGACACTGTATGTTGCACACTGTATGTTGCACACTGTGTGTTGCACACTGTGTGCTGCACACTGTATGTTGCACACTGTGTGTTGCACACTGTATGTTGCACACTGTATGTTGCACACTGTGTGTTGCACACTGTATGTTGCGCACTGTGTGTTGCACACTGTGTGCTGCACACTATATGTTGCACACTGTATGCTGCACACTGTATGTTGCACACTGTGTGCTGCACACTGTGTGTTGCACACTGTGTTCTGCACACTGTATGTTGCACACTGTATGTTGCACACTGTATGTTGCACACTGTATGCTGCACACTGTGTGCTGCACACTATATGTTGCACACTGTGTGCTGCACACTGTGTGCTGCACACTGTGTTCTGCACACTGTATGTTGCACACTGTGTGCTGCACACTGTGTGCTGCACACTGTGTGCTGCACACTGTATGTTGCACACTGTGTGTTGCACACTGTGTGTTGCACACTGTATGTTGCACACTGTGTGCTGCACGCTGTGTGCTGCACACTGTATGTTGCACACTGTATGTTGCACACTGTATGTTGCACACTGTGTGCTGCACACTGTGTGCTGCACACTGTGTGCTGCACACTGTATGTTGCACACTGTGTTGCACACTGTGTGTTGCACACTGTGTGTTGCACACTGTATGTTGCACACTGTGTGCTGCACGCTGTGTGCTGCACACTGTATGTTGCACACTGTGTGCTGCACGCTGTGTGCTGCACACTGTATGTTGCACACTGTATGTTGCACACTGGATGTTGCACACTGTGTGCTGCACACTGTGTGCTGCACACTGTATGTTGCACACTATGTTGCACAGTGTGTTGCACACTGTATGTTGCACACTGTATGTTGCACACTGTGTGCTGCACACTGTGTGCTGCACACTGTATGTTGCACACTGTGTGTTGCACACTGTGTGTTGCACACTGTATGTTGCACACTGCGTGTTGCACACTGTGTGCTGCACGCTGTGTGCTGCACACTGTATGTTGCACACTGTATGTTGCACACTGTGTGCTGCACACTGTGTGTTGCACACTGTATGTTGCACACTGTGTGCTGCACACTGTGTGTTGCACACTGTATGTTGCACACTGTATGCTGCACACTGTGTGTTGCACACTGTATGTTGCACACTGTGTGCTGCACACTGTATGTTGCACACTGTATGCTGCACACTGTGTGTTGCACACTGTATGTTGCACACTGTATGTTGCACACTGTGTGTTGCACACTGTGTGCTGCACAGTGTGTGCTGCCAAACTTGTACTCAAGAATATCAGTCTAGATACATCACTTTGTCTGGATCTTATTTTGAGTTATGTTGGTGGGTAATTGACATATATATTACTACGTATGATAATTTATGCAAGTATAATGTCTACCTGTACCTAAATAAACTTACACCGTACACCTACTGTAGGACGGCCACCTCCATCTCTGTACTCTTGTAAGTTTATTTAAGTACACATAAGTGCAATTATTACACATAATATAAATTCCCGAACAGGATGACCCAGAGAAGTCAATTTTGTGTCCATCTCAGCACTTCGACTTCACTTAAAACACTGTTTTAAAGAACAAAGTATTCTTGGCAAGTGGTAAGCAAGTGACATGAAGCCTTAATGACTCTCGTCTAGTAAATGGACTGTAAACTCCATTAACTAAACCAATCTAACACACCACACGTACACACACACACACACTTCAAAAGTGATGACTACACAGGCATGAGGCAGTCCTTGTATGAGGTGCAGTGGGAAAGAGAACCAGAGGGAAAAACAGACAGTGAGATGAAGTATGTGGCCAGAAAATTAAGAGAAACAGAGAAGTTCGTACCAAGGGGCAACAGAAAGAATGGGGAGACCAGTGCCCATGGCATACCCTGAGTTGTGGAAAGATCAAAGACAGATGTCCTAGAGCATTGATAAAGTATAAACGGTAAAGAACCCAGGAAAACAGGGAGTTGAGCTGGAGAGCAAGAAATGAATACAAATGAATGATGAGAGAGGCCCAGAGGCAATACGAGAATGTTATAACATCAAAACCATATCCGACCCAAAGTTGTTATAGTCACATCAGAAGGAAAACAATAGTCAAGGACCAGGTAATTAGGTTGATAAATTAGACACATGTGCAACCCTTGGGTATTAGGTAAGACACATATGCAACAGTTAGGTATCTTTATTATGAAACGTTTCGCCTACACAGTAGGCTTCTTCAGTCAAGTACAGAAAAGTTGATAGAAGCAGAAGATACTTGAAGACGATGTAATCAGTCCATCACCCTTAAAGTTTTGAGGTGGTCAGTCCCTCAGTCTGGAGAAGAGCATTGTTCCATAGTATGAAACAATATGGAGAAGAAGTGACAGGATGGAGCCTTTTTATAGCGCCGAGAGGTGAGACGTAGGCCACTAGGAGAGGTAAGAACTCAGATGTTGAAAGGTCAGGTCCCTCTCAAATCCAGCCCCTCTCACTAGTGGAAGTTGTTGAAGTTGATTGCAGGTCTGTACCAAGATACCCTTGTGTTGCAGTGTCTGACAGATTGAACATTAAAATGGTATAAAATACCGACAGGTTGTTAGGTAAGACACATATGCAACAGTTAGGTATCTTTATTATGAAACGTTTCGCCTACACAGTAGGCTTCTTCAGTCAAGTACAGAAATGGTATTTTATACCATTTTAATGTTCAATCTGTCAGACACTGCAACACAAGGGTATCTTGGTACAGACCTGCAATCAACTTCAACAACTTCCACTAGTGAGAGGGGCTGGATTTGAGAGGGACCTGACCTTTCAACATCTGAGTTCTTACCTCTCCTAGTGGCCTACGTCTCACCTCTCGGCGCTATAAAAAGGCTCCATCCTGTCA